TACATTTTACATTGAGTCCAGTACACACATGACTATGTGAGTATCAAAACACAGCAAATATTTTGTGAAACATTTCATAGAATGTTACTTAACCCTTACTAAGAGCAATTCATTCTGATATTTTCTATTCTGTTCTATTTCATTTAATTTTGGGGGGAGGGGGAGGAAAGAAATTTCTTTCCCAGGACAAATAACACTAGACTATAAAAAAAGATTATCCAATTTTCTCCCACGATCTTCCAAGTATGTGCATTTTAAAAAAACTTCCCGGCAAGTCTTCCCAGTGCCATCTACTGTGCCCTCTGGGTATTGCAAATGCCTTTTCTTTTTCCTGGCACAGAAATTTTTTTTAAGCATGAGATTAAATCAGAGAACTCTACTTACCAATATGTTCTTCTTTGCCTAAAGTAGAAATGGCTCTGAAACAGTTTAAGAAGTTTAGGTTAATAGCTAACATGCAAACCCAGCTTTGAATTCTAAGACACAAAGACTTCATCTCCAATTCCAGAAGATGGGCTTTCCAAGTCAGAGAACATCCATATGATGGGACCTCAGGAGCAAAACTGACCATGCAATCAGTGGCTTTGAGAGTGACACACTTAAATTCAGGACATTCTACACTAGCATTTCACAGAAAGTCGCTGTGGCCTATCAAATACAACATAAGCAGGGAATCTCTCTATAGTCCCTTGTCAAACTTATGCCTGTATTTTTTTTTTTTTACTAAAGCAACTCATGAGTGTTTACTGTACCCTAAATATTCCAAAAGCTCTTTAAAATTATATATAACACAATGTTGTTGTAATGCAAACTAAAATGTAGAAATCTCTTCTGTTTCTTTGGAATGATGCAGAATTTTCATTTTAACAAGTCACCATAGTTTATAGAGTGTAATTTTTATATTCACTATATGTAAATTTTCTCTACCATTTTGCTTAGGGAGTTATAGCTTTCAATTCATTTCTGACCAACATGTGCTTTTGATACGAATACCTTTGGAAGTGTCTTTGTGATTGCTCCACTGTCTGCTTAAATAATCATAAAAAAGCTACACTGATATTTTTGCAAATAAGAGCATATGCTCATCCAGTAAAACCACTGCCTTGCCACTGAGACACATCCAACAACATGAATTTTCTCCCAAATATTTTATGTGTGAATATAAGAACAGAATGAGGAAAATGGAAGGGCTTATAACAGTTTTAGTCACAACTCAAAAGCTGTAATTTTTATGAGATGCCTTTAATTTGAAAGTGAAGAGAAAAACAAATTATCGAAGTCTGAGATCTTTCCTCTTTTTTTAACTCTTTGGATGTAAACAACTGATTTTTTTCCCTAAGTGATTTGACATTACCTATTTTCAGAATACATAATGAGGGCATGGGTCAATGATGCAAAGAGAAATCATAATGAAACAGTATTCTCCTGTAATAATTATTCACAAAAATTCAAAAGGCTCACACTGGGACCACTCCTTCTTTTAAATTATATTATCATATGTAAGTTGTTATTACCCAGATATGCCAAGGGTTCATTATATCTTCAGTTTCCAACTGCAATTTTGAGGAAGGCTGAACTTTCTGGATTTTTTGTCAATTATTAATATGATTAATATTTCAACAGCAAAGTCAAGAAAGTAAGTGTAGACCAGTAGCTAATGTTTCTAATAACTAACAGCTAAGAGACATTCAATGATTCTAACTTGCTCTAAAACTGCCAAGGGTTAGGACAGGGGCTCCATTCTTTCACAAGACTCTTCTTGTCCTGAAATATTTTCTGCTCTATCTTACATATGATTTGTGAGTCAGAAATTTTACTGAGACATTTCTATGTAGATTCAGATCATCATTCCCAGAGGGAATCCAAGGGGCAGCTGGCAAGTAATCATCCATTAAAATATGTAAAGAAATGACATTTTTCTCACACCGATTTCTTACAGAGGAGCAACTTTTTTCTTTCTGGTTTATTTAAAACAGATGTCAAATTAAAATGCCAAATAGCTTTAAATATTAGCATTTTACCTTATAACCTGACAACTGCATCACTTTAAATACCTGCCAAAAAAGTTCAACTCAGTTATAAACACCTGGGATTTGCCTCCTTGCTCCTAAGCAAGTACATACAAATATTCGTCATATGTATCTTTGACACTCCAAAGTGACAAGGTGTAGCTATCACAGCTCTTCATCAGTTAACTACCAATAGCTACTCGATAAGTGCCTGCTTCTTCCTGGGAATTGCTTCATTTGAGTTCAATTATTCCTAGGAATTGTTTCATTCAAGACCAATTTTTCCTGGGAATTGCATCATTCAAGACCAATTCAGGAGACACCAGTGTTTTTTCCATAAGGCCAAGTAAAAAAATATTCCCTATATTGTTCAGTGCCTATAAATTAATAAGACAAAGGTAGGCCAATCAAGCAGCAGACTCACCCTGATCCTCTGCCATGTTCTGTGGTGCTGGGAAGAGGGCAGAGCTTTCTCTAAGGACTGGTATGTTCAAAGATGAAGATATGTGAAAACAGGGCAACCCTTTAACAAAATGATGCTTTTTACCAAAAAGAAAAAAGTCAGCAATAGATGATGCTATTCACAAAACGATTATAGGATTTACAAAAATACTAATTTGTGCTTTGATTTGCTAATTGTATATATGTCTAAGCTCATGTGGAAATGAATTCAAATACCCAAACTTGAGATTCTTTTTCCATCTTACGTCTTCTTTTCCTCCTGAACTCTGGAGGACACAAAAACATATATTTAAGATTTTGTGTCTTAGAGGAACCCAAGTCTGGTAAGGAAGAAAACACCAACACACAGAAAAACAACACAAATCACACAAAACAGAACAAATTCAGGTTACAACTTAAGAGCTATAGAAAGTCTAGCTATATAGCCCCAGATAGCAGTAGCTCTGATATACAATTAGCCACACACTAATTGTGCAAATAGGGAGAATAAGTCTGGGAAAACACGGAAAAGGAAGTTGAACAACAACCTGTAATCAGGAGACAGACACTAAAACCTAAGGTGAAATTTTTCAATGTGGGAAAGTGAGTCAACTTTCAATCTCCAAACTGTCTTTACCAGCAAGCTTACAGTGGTTCTAGACCCTTCCTGCATTCCAGCCCAGAGTTCTAGACAGCACTGCCCCTGCTGCCCTGGGGAGGGGGGGGGGAATGAAGGGAGGGCCTACCCACCAGCTCCTCACAGTCCCAAGACACCTCCCATCTCAACTCTGATGTGTGCTCAAACCCAGGAAGTTTCTCTACTCCACCCATCTTCGCCTTGTAATTTCTAAAAAGCTGATTCAGCACATCTCTCAGATGGACCATGTAAGGGCTTTTGTCAGCTCTTGGGGCTTTGTATTTTCATGAACAGACACTCCCTCATAGACTAAGACTTAAGAGCTGGAAGGTGGGGTAGTAACTGCAGGAAAAAATTCATGTTAGCCCATACAAGAATGGCCTAAATTGGCCCATAGCAATGGCACGCCAATTTTATAAGGAAAAGTCAATGCTTTCACGCTAATGGTGGCAATCATGGGAAATCCATTTCTGAGGCTAGATCTTCTCTGTCAGGATGAATCATCATCTTTGCTTCACATAAAACTCACCTAAGGAAAGATGAGCATGAGAGCAAGCATGCCTGCACTTCCACACTGGCTGCTCTTTGCAGGAATCATGAACCAAGTTACCTGAGCAGGTAACAGCCACTGAGGCTTGACACTCCTTTCCCAACGACGGGCTTGCTATGGCAGTTTTAATTCTCCATCCACTGCATCTCCAGATATCAAAATACCCAACGAAACGTGGACAGTGAGACCTCATAAGCCGAGATCAAGCTTCCAAAAGAATTGAACAGCCCGGGATCTTCTCCAAAAAGCCTATTCGTGGTCCCCTTTCATGGTGTGTGTGCACGGGCGGGGCGGGGGGGGGGGGGGGGGGGCGGGCTGTAGACTTCATTCATACTTTCTTTCTTTCTGAATAATCTGGATCTCTCCCACCTCAAATTGAGTAACCGTCTTGTGATTTCCCACCTGTGGAAGGGAGGAAGAAGTGGGCAGAGCCTAGGTGCTGCACCCTTTGCCGCGGTGCAGATGGCTGGACACCCACATCCAGGGCCCTCGGAGAAGCCCCATGCCAGCCTTGGCAAGAGCAAAATTTGTCTCCCCCACCACCTCCAACCACAGCCCTTGTTTAAAATCGATTCAGAAAGGGAATTCAAGGTGGCGTTGGCTGAGTTTGACTTTGCGGGAAGAAAGAAGCAGGAAGTTGACCTGTCCCGATGGCCCCACCTGTTCGCCCTCTCTGAACCCAAATTCCAAGGAGGAAACAGACCCTGCGCCACCCTGCTGCAGCGGAGAGCCTCGCAAGGAAATGGAGCCTCCATGGCCTGAAGTAAAATAGTTCAAATAGTTGGGAACGTCTGTTTTTCTAACAATTAAAGTGTATGTGTGTAAATATACACACATACATATATACACACACACATATATATACATACATACAATAGTACTGTCAAACTAGTCCAAGTAGAAATAACAATAACGGCAACAACAGCTATCCTTTAACCCCACCCATCCCCAGAACTCAGGGAGCCGAGGCCTGGGGCTTTGCATCCTGTTCAGGTCACCAGGCTCAGCTTCCCCCAGCTCTGACCCCGCGCGGAAGGGCTAGGGTGGCGAGGGGGCCCGGGGCGCTTGGGACCCAGGGGATTCCAGGCGCTCGGTTGTGCTTGGGGCACTGCGGACTCCAGGATCTCCAGTACCTGGGGGCGGGGGCAGGCCGATCGAGGAACCGTGTCCCAGGGAAGTTCTGGCTACCGGGGAGGCCCTGCGCGCCCCGCCCGCAGCACTGGGGGCGGCCGGACAGCGAGGAGCCTCCCCCTCCGTAACTTTCTAAATAGCTTCAGGGAAGAGGCGGAGTGTGGCGTGCAGTTAAAAGGCGTCGCAGGGCAAGCAGGTGTGGAAGACCCGACGCGCCTGGCGCGCTCCGCTCTCCCGGACTCTCAGCCAGTCGGCAGCGCAGCAGCGCACAGCGAGCGCCAAGGCAGCCTCCGCCAGCACCAGCCCAGACTCCGCGGGAGCGCACAGCCGCCACCCGCGACCTCGCGGAGCGCTCCCTCCTGCGCAGGTGAGGCCGCGACGCCGGCGCCCAGCCCTCAGCGCCCCGGGACGGCCTGGGCTGGGAGATCCCGCTTCAGGAGGGACCCCGGGACGGCCTGGGCTAGCGGACCCGGCGCCGGGAGGGACCCCAGGACGGCCATCTGGCGGACCTGGACGCGGCCGGGGAACCCAGATCCTCCCAACTGGACCCGGCGTGCACTGAGGCCCCTGCATCGTCCGTGTCCCGGGCAGTCGCGACAGCGGACCCGAGGCGGAGGGCAGGGAGCGAGTGCGAACTTCGGGAAAGGAAGTTCCTTCCGCAGAGCTCTGAAATTTGAATCGGGCTGTTTAGGCCGGATTTGCAGCGGCGCGCCGGGGAAGGGGACGTGGTAACAGAACCCCAGAGGCAGTGATCGGGTTCGGCGCGCGAGCGGGGGGAGGGGAAGCCAGCCAGTCGGAGACAGTTCGACCTCGGCGTGATTGATTGTCGATAATATTCCTCCGAGGAAATTCTCGCACAGCCGCCGGGTTGTTCTAACTGTAGCCAGTAGAAGTTTTTAATTGGCTGAAGGCTTAGTTCATGAAGAAAAATCAATTTCATTTGTTAAGCAGGAAGCCTTTACAGGAGGAAACTGACCTTTACCTCCTCACACTGTCTTTGCAAAGAAAATCACTCAGGTCGAGGTCCGGCAGAGATTACCTGGAACTCCCTGCCCCTGTGAGCCCAGAGACCCAGACCGCAGCCTAAATCTGAGTTAAGAGTTCGGTTGCTTCTCTTTCTCCTAAACAATCAAGAACATTTATCTCCAGGTGGCTTTTCCAGCTGGAAGGAAAGCTTTAGGACGGTTTACAAATGAGGTAGTGTACAGCTGAGAAACGTACTCTTTAGGATGGCTGCTTTGACCTTTCAGTGTTCCCTCAGTGAAGGCGGGAAATAAGCCTAAATGGTGTGTCTTTCAGTTTTCTGATAGCCGGACCCGTATGACCATGACCATTTACTTGTGACTCTGTCTTGAAATGTTTGGTGATAGCCATGTCCCCATTAGCCCTTTGAGTCTCTTTCAAAACTAGCGTGCTCAGTCAGGCGCAATTACAGACACCTGTGAGGGGGTGGGGGCGCTCTTTGGGGAGGTCAACCATCCAGAAAGTAAGGATTGAGAAGTTAAGGGGTAAAGAATTCCTTTTGCCTTTTTTGCAACCCGGTGATTCACCCAGTGCCTTCCCTGAAGAACAGAACCAGCTCCTCAACTCACTGCTGGCAGAACTCCAAACAATTACAGGGTGGTGTGGGCCAGATAGGAGCCTGCCCATGACCCATCTGCCAGGTCAAGAAAGGCAAGAGAGCAGCTCCCTGGATTATTTGAATATTGAGAACAATTCCTTCTTGAGCTCTAACCTCTACCTCATTCGGGGAGCAAATTTTAATTTGCTCCTCTTCCTAAAAGGATCTTTAAAACAGGTAGTTGCAACTCAACCAAGAACTTTAAAAAACAACAATAATACAGAGTGTGCTTCGAACTGAATTTTTCTCAGCTGATGATGATTGGACTGGTTTACAGAAGAATGTGCGATCTTTGGTACTCTGGAAGAGGCAAAGGCATAAGCCTCACCCATAGGGTTTTAGCCAGATGTATTGAATTAAACCATGGACTGTTTAGTTCAGTGAGTGTTCTGCTTTCCAGCTGGTAAGTGCCAGAGAGGAACTGGACTGTCTAAATTTCATAAAATTGTTTGGCTAAAAGATGAATTTTGGTTCACCTAAGGATCTCCCAGACAGTCTGTGTCTGAAGAGTCAGGGCTGAACTGGGGACTAAACCCTGGTTTCTTCCAGTTGATGTGTCTCTTGTGGAGCTGAGTAGGGCTAAATGTTTCTCGAGCACATTTCAGTCATACATACTTTTCCTGGCTGTGACTCTTCTCCACCTCTCTCCTGCCTCCTCTGGGCAAGGTCGCTTTGGATGGCTTCAGCCAGACCTTGATGCCCCACAACTGAGACCAAGATGAGGCACAGTGATGAAAGGTATTCATTCCATGCCTGCTTAGGAAGTCATCAGAAAACAGGACCAAACTTGCTCAAAATGAGAGCATTTAACATAAGAGTAGAAGGAGGATTTACTATCAGCTTAGAAGGTGTGGAAAACCTATCACTCACCAGAATTGTAGAGAGGTGGAATCCTGTTTACAAGAAGGGTTGATTGAGACAGAGGGGGTGTAACTATGAATAAACGAAGACACCTCCTATTCTGGGCTGAAGAGAAAGCCTCTGTCTCATGAAACATTGATCCACAGGCTTCTCCAAATCCCTTTTCAATGAGTAATACATTACCCCCGCTGGCTTTGGTTCTGCACTTAGATACAGTGACTCACCCTGTAGGGCCAGTGATGGGGGGAATCACTGAGTTAAATATTCTGTCATTTTTCTTAATGTGCCTCTTTAGAAACACTTCTAAATTAAAACCAAAACCCACAATAAAAATGTACAGTTACAACAATTACCAAACAGATATCCCTCAGTACTGACCGAGCAATCAGTCCCAGCACGGCAGTGAGGACCACCAATCCATAAAAAAGTTTGCCAAAATCCTTGCAGAGTAACTTTGCTCCATAGATAGACTGATTCTAACCTGTTCCTTTCTATGCAGAAAAAGGAAGTGAAGCCTTTTGTGAAATTTTAACTTGGGAGTGCCTTAAATATAAACTTTACCGTAGGTACCAGTCATTTCACTACTGCACCCCAAGTCCATGAAAGTGAACTGAAATATTTTTAAGAAAAGTGGCACAAGGGCTCCTGGGTGGCTCAGTTGGTTAAGCATCTGCCTTCAGCTCAGATCATGATCCCAGGGTCCTGGGATTGAGCCCCCTATCGAGCTCCCTGGAGAGCCTGCTTCCTTCTCTCTCTCTGCCTATTTGTGCTCTTTCTCTCTGTCAGATAAATAAATAAAATCTAAAAAGAAAAAAGAGAGAGAGGAAAGAAGGGAGAGTGGGAGGGAGGGAAGGAAGGAGGGAGGGAGGGAGGAAAGGTACGAGGGAGAGAGGGAAGAACTCTGCAGGAAGATGTCCCACTGGCCTTTAAGGAAATGCTGGCCTCAGCTAGTATCAGTCCCCATGGTACCATCCAAAACTTGGGGGTAGCAGGCAGATGCAACAGCTAAGTGCTGATGGAGTGCTGAGTAACTCAAGCAGAGTCTGCAAAGAGTTGGGTCAGCACTAATTAGTACCTTTAAGTTAGTGAATACTTTTGCTTGTGGTGCTCCTCCCCCAGCCCCCAAATCTTTATTATGTGCTAAACATCTGGTGAATTATTCAGATGAATAAGCTACTCTTTATTAGAGAACGCATACAAACATGTTTCAGGTGATTTGAGAACTACGCATCTAATCCTACGCAAACTAGGTTGGTTTTGTTTTGACCTTTTTTGGTGAGGTTGTGTAAGAGTTGGTGTTTGCTCAAGAAGAGATTTAAGAACTAATGCCTTTCCTGGGACCCAAAGAAGTCTCCCAAATTCTGTCCTGACTAGTCACTCCTATATTGTGTTCACTTTGTCTTTTCCAGTGCAGACCACCCGGAGGAGAATATGGATTGGAGCACACTACAGACTATTCTGGGGGGTGTCAATAAACACTCCACCAGTATTGGGAAGATCTGGCTCACAGTCCTCTTCATTTTTCGCATTATGATCTTGGTAGTAGCCGCAAAGGAAGTGTGGGGAGATGAGCAAGCCGATTTTATCTGCAACACTCTACAACCTGGGTGCAAAAATGTGTGCTATGATCACTATTTCCCCATCTCTCACATCCGACTCTGGGCCCTTCAACTGATCTTTGTGTCCACACCAGCTCTCTTGGTGGCCATGCACGTTGCCTACCGGAGACATGAGAAGAAAAGGAAGTTCATTAAGGGAGAGATAAAGAGTGAATTTAAAGACATTGAAGAGATCAAAACCCAGAAGGTCCGCATTGAAGGGTCACTGTGGTGGACCTACACTAGCAGCATCTTTTTCCGGGTCATCTTTGAAGCGGTCTTCATGTATGTCTTCTATATCATGTATGATGGGTTCTCCATGCAGCGTTTGGTGAAATGCAATGCGTGGCCTTGTCCCAATACAGTGGACTGCTTTGTTTCCAGGCCCACGGAAAAGACTGTCTTCACAGTTTTTATGATTGCAGTGTCTGGAATTTGCATACTGTTAAATGTCACTGAATTGTGTTATTTGCTAATTAGATATTGTTCCGGAAAGTCAAAAAAACCAGTTTAACACATTACCCAGCCAGCGGATAAAAGATAGGGAGAAAAGGATGAGGCACAGGTGCTTTGCTGTCCAGGCACAGTCACCAGCATTTCCCAAGATCAAGATTCTTATCTTAAACGCAACCATTTGAAACTGCTCTAGATCTCAGTGAAACTCCAGATGCCTCCAGCAGAGCTTTACTCTCCTGAAGCTTGAAAACAAAGGCATAATTCTATGCCTATACTGATTTGTACTACAATTAGTTCCAGTAAAACCCCATGCTGGAAGGGGTTGTGGGTGTAGGTACTCTCAAATTTTAAATAAAGGACATCAGCATTTGTTTCTCTTTCTTTGAGGAAAGGAGAGAAACTCTGAGTTCTAAAGAGGATGCTGAGAAGTTTGGGTTTCTTCCCTTAGGGTTCCCTTTGCCGCATTCCCTGAATTAAAGGTGAACATAGAGATCCTTGATTCTTTTATTCGCTTGGAAAGTTTTAGTCTCTAACAATGGGCAGGGTTATCTAATGCTTCAAACTCTGTCATGCTTTTTTTTTTTAAGTGAAAACTTTAAAATGGGTATGTTCTTTTGATCTGCAAGATGTTCTGAAGCCATTAGATGTTCCTCATATTTCAAAGGCTCAGATTATGATATGCGTGCAACTAGACACTATCACTGAATTTAAAATATGGCCTTTCAGTTTTGAAAAATTTGCAGTGCCTGAAAAGTTGTGTGCTCTATTAATTGTGGTATGTAGCGCATGAAAGCATTTCAGCCTCTCACACGTGAAACCACCTAGAAGTACTTAGTGATGGCTTATAACAGCAAAAGGCCTCGTTTCCAAAATTTAGGTGTAATTCTGCATGAGAAATACAGACTGGAAGGACCACCAACCACCCCCAACTACAGGCTGGCACAAGACACCTTCTTTCCTTTACAGTGTTTGCCTTTTCCATTACTGTGGTAAATGGTAGGAACACTGATTTAAAGAGGTTGCTTGGGAATATTTTATAGCCACTGTACAATTTAATGGTGTGGAACAAAATGGAGCTCCAGAGGAGTAGTTACTATATTTTAAAGAACAGATGAAAAGACTAGACTCTAAATTCTGATGACTAAAAACGAGTTTCATCTACTTCAAAAGATTGCTTCCCATTTCAGCATCCAGTTTTCTTAAGTGAAAATAGAATTGATAGACCTTTGTTTTTAAATAGAAACTAGAGTTTAGAAAAATATTTAGCAGTTCTATAGGACAAATTGAACCCTAAAATTGTCATTGTGCTTGATGGTTTCCAAAAAATGGTATTCAACATATTTTAATGAGGGTAAACATTTTCCTGTTGCCAAGAATAGCATTGTAAAAACATTTTGTAATAATAAATAGCTTTAATTACATGCTTGTAACTAAAATAATTTTTAATGTCTCAAATGTCACTTAAAATATTAAAATATAATTAATTCATAAAACAGCTATTTAAAATCAATTATAGTTTCTAATAGAAGAGCAAATTTTAATGTTATCTATAGCCTGTTTTGTATGCTAATATTTTCTATTTTGTAACCCCAAATGGTTAAGTTACCAGCGTATCTGTCCACCGTTCTGGCATTCTTCTACCCACTTACAGAAAAGTCTCTGTTATAGAAAGCTTGACAGGGGAGGGAGAAGGAGAGATTATTTTTGCCCAACCACATGCTCCCCTCAAACAGGTTTCTGACAAACACATGCAGTGTGATGTGTGGACTGGCTTTGTAAACTGGAGAATGCCAAGATGGGTTTATGTGACCCGTTTTGCTCCTAGAAGAATCATGAAAGCTGACGCTTAAAAATGTGATTTATGGTAAAGTTTGGCCAAGGCATGAGAAAAATTCTATAAGGTGTCTTTTCTAAGGGATTTTATTTCTGTATATTTATATGTAATCAAAGCTGGTCTTGCAAAACTGCTTTTTCTTCCTTAGTGCCCTCTTCTATGGGAAATAAGCCTGACAGATCAGCCTGTCCCTGTGTGTGTGTGAGCGCCTGCTGAAAGGCTTGCCTGGCCCTCAAGTGTTCTCCCCCGTCAGCCAACAATGGTTCCATCCTTTCAGTAGAATGAACCTTCAGCCCAAGGACCTCAAAGTGTTTTACACACTAATATTTAAGAATTTTTTTTTTTTTGACAGAGATCACAAGTAGGCAGAGTGGCAGGCAGAGAGAAAGGAGGAAGCAGGCTCCCCGCTGAGCAGAGAGCCCGATATGGGGCTCGATCCCAGGACCCTGGGACCATGACCTGAGCCGAAAGCAGAGGCCTTAACCCACTGAGCCACCCAGGCGCCCCAATATTTAAGAATATTTTTATGGAGAACCACAAACCATATACTTTTTTAATGGATTTAAGAGGACAAAAAAACAGTGGTGCCTAGGTGGCTCAGTCAGTTGGGCAGCCAACTCTTGATTTTGGCTCAGGTCATGGTCTTGGGTCATGGGATGGAGCCCCGCATCTGTCTCTGTGCTCAGCAGCAAGGTCTGATTGAGATTCTCTCCCTCTCCCTTTCCCTCTACGCTCCCCCCACCACTATCTCTTTCTCTCTCTTTAAAATAAATAAATCTTAAAAAAAAAAAAAGGCAGACAAAAAACAGCCAACTTTCATCCTAGTAATAGAAAGGGGATAAAAAATGTCCCTGGCCATCTTCCACAGTGCTCTGCATGCAGCCTGTTAAAACAGCACATGATTTTTTAAATATGTTCACTCTTGAAAGCTATGAAGATTATTACTCTCAAGGTTTTAAAAGACTGGGTCAAAGTAATTACAGATTACTGCTGACCACTTTTAAGAACTTATAGAGAGGTCTGGCCACATGCCTGAAAATTAGAGCTTGAACTCTGAACTTGAATTTAATCCTCAATATACATCTCAAATTCATCATTCATGCTAGGTAAAAGAAAGCTTTGCTTATTGGTTGATTGGTTGGTTTTTAAAGATTCTGCCAAAGGATCTTGTGTCTGGTTGGCTGCATCAAGGCCACAGCCTCACTGGCCTCACACAACCCAGCCTCCAGGAGGGCCCCAGCACCTGCAGAACATCCAGGTATGTGACCTTGGGAGCTTATAATCCCCAGGTGCAGTCCAGCTGCTACTTCAACCTGCAATAAACTGGCACTGGTGGTCTCAACTCTTCTGTAAATATACAACTGTCAAAGGTGAATTGCAATTAGTATGAGTGAATCAGGGCCAACTTCGGAGGACAAAGTTACTATTCTCCAGGGCGGTCTGGCCTGAGCTGCCCAGCACTGCTACCACTGACCTAAGCGGTCAAGTAGACAGCAACAGGCAACGTGCTGAGAAGGGTTTATGGTGGGTAGGCTGGAGCTCACTTATTTTCTCTGGACCTCAGTTTTCTCATCTTTAAATGGGCTTACTGAATACTTGCCAAGTTTACTGGCAACCAAATACAATAATTTATTTAAAAGCTTACTATGTCGTAAAATGCTAGGTAAAATACTGCCATCTCTTTTCCGTAAGATAGATCCCAAGCTGGAAAGATGATCGGTGGTATTTTAGATAGAAATGACTCCAGCAAAGCTTGATAAACTGGCCACTGGAAAAAATGCATATTTACACAAAGCCTGAACTAAGCACAATAGAGAGGGAGAAGAGAGAGGAGGGTCTGGGTGCGAATGTCACAGCACAAGAAGGGTGATAACAGCAATGCTGCTCTACTGAGAGAAAAGTCCACAGGGCCATAAGGTTTCCATTCATCTAGTTAGAGTCTCTATAACCAAATGTTTTATGCATGTGATCTCATTTTGCCAGCTGCCCTGGCAAAAACAGTCTTTCATTCTTTTGAATGGACAGGGACGGCGCCCCTCTGGGAGGTAACACCCTACTCAAAGGCCAATAGCAGGCAGTCCTATCGCACAAAGGGTGTGGTGGGTTGAACTACTAGAATTCTCCCAATGCACTTAATTCCAGAAGCTAGTTGCCAAAACCATAGGGACTCCCCATCTTCCCCAGTGTTGATAGGGTTAAGAAGGAGTCCTGAAGTCTTGAGGGACTCCATTCCATTCCTGTGCATCTTGAATTATTCATTTATTCAGCCAATATTTACAGAGTACCAACTGAGTGCCAGGAACTACTGGGCACCGGGACTGCAAACAAAAGAAAATCTCTGCCTTCATGTTGAAGGAGGCAGTCTACAAACAAATCCCTGTCGATTATATATGCTGCAGATAAGTGCAACAGAGAAAAACAAAAGTGCATAACGGAAATAGGAAGGGCCAGAGGCAATGAGAATCCCTATTCAGTATAGGGTGGTCAGGGAATGCCTCTCTGCTAAGAGCCTAGAATAAATGGAGACGCAAGCCAAACTGGTATCTCAGGGAAGAGTCATCCAGGGAAAGAAAAAGGCCCGGACACCAGAGTCAGGGACAGAATGGGAAGAGATGAGGTCAAATAAGGCGGGGGTGGGGGGGGGGTGGTTTGCAGATAGTACAGACCTCCTGGGGCTGGAGGTCATCAGAAGAATTCCTCATTGTGCTCAAATCTGCCTGTTTATAACACCAGCTCACCAGCATCTGTTCTGCCCTCTGGTGGACCCAAAGTAAGTCTGTTTTCCACTTAATAACCTTAAATAGCTGAGAACAGATCCCAGTTCAACCCCAACTTTATTTTCCAGCTCCACATTTCCCTGTTGGTCATACATTCGTTCATCAATATTAAGCAACTACTGTGTACCAACCTACTAGTTACCAGTAAATAAGAAAGAAAAAAAACAGGGGCACCTGGGTGGTTCAGCTGGTTAAGCGTCTGCCTTCAGCTCAGGTCATGATCTCAGGGTCCTAGGGTCGAACCCCGCATCGAGCTCCCTGCTCAGTGGGAGTCTGCTTCTCCCTCTTCCTCTGCCTCTCCCCTCCACTCATGCTGTCTCTCACTTTATCTCTCTTAAATAAATAAAGAATGTTCTCTAACCTCTGGCAGTCAAGCAGTGGTAACAGTACCAGGAGTTTGCAGGCTCCTCCTCAGGACAGGGGGCTTCAGTACACCAGTGTCCTCCAGAAGGGAGATGCGGCCCTCTAGCATGGCCCAGCACTGGGGTGACTCTTCTAGACACATTGACTCAAGTGAGCTTTTTTTTTTTTAAAGATTTTATTTATTTATTTGACAGACAGAGATCACAAGTAGGCAGAGAGGCAGGCAGAGAGAGAGGAAGGGAAGCAGGCTCCCTGCTGAGCAGAGAGCCCGATGCGGGACTCGATCCCAGGACCCTGAGATCATGACCTGAGCCGAAGGCAGCGGCTTAACCCACTGAGCCACCCAGGCGCCCTCAAGTGAGCTTTTTAAACGCTCATCACCTTTCCTCACCTTCAGTTACAAGACCACCAAGGTGATTTATGTAATTACAGAATTAATATATAAATATATTTGCACTGAAAATTAAATGCAGAAGTAAATAAAGTCAAATGTGAAGGTTTCATTTCACAGCGCTGCTTAGAATTACTAACTTCTCCATGTAAACGCATCCAGTCTTTTCTCTATGCGATTGCAGTTACTTCTATACATATACACACACACATACATAACCACTTTGCATTTCCTACTTATTTTTTTC